ATTTTTTTAAAAAATAACATAGCAGTGGAGATAATTCTCAGTACAGAAGAGCTGAACGCAATGTGGGCAAGATTTCTGATCAATATTATACAGACTTTTCTTCAAAGGGAAAGAATAGAATGGGACTCTGTTTTCTTTTTAAAGATGTCGCCCTCCTTCTGTTTCTTCCTTTACAAGTGAACCACTTCTTGGTGCATGTGAGCCCATGAACGCTTTAACTCTTGAAAAGGCATCTCAACCATCACCGTCAATGCCAATCCAACCATGAGTGTTGTCAGGCAGTGTCCAAGGAACAGGTAGAGCTGTGAAAATAAGGCAAGGATGGCTTGGTTTGACAATGTGGCATATGTTTGAGCTCAGAATCTTTTGAGGGTGGTCTCACATTGCCAGGTCTGAACATGGCTTATAAGCAGTGTGACATCTCATTGCTAACTAGCTATGCTCACTCAGTCAAATGTTACCATAGGTGTGTTGGGTTGGCCAGAGAGGAGACAGGGTTGAAATGATGGTAAAGCACCTTTAGGACAGTATCAGAATACATTCTGAGTAGGGAATGCTGCCTGCTGGAAGAAAACAGAACCATGGAGTATCTTTCCCAACATGCTTGTTTTCCATTTTCTAGAAATGAACCTGGGAATAAATATGTCATTTGGCCCACTTGTAATGGTGTGAAGTGTTTGCAAGCCAGGAAGTGCTACTGTACACTGTCTCTTTTTTACAGGTTAAAACTGGCCCTAAGATTACATTGGTTGCCTGCCTTATTAACAACAACCTTATTACAAGGGTTTGACTACAGATGGTTCCACTTGCAGAGAAGTGGGTGCAGAAATGGCCAGCTGGAATTCTGGCATGAATGCAGTACATACTTGGAATGCAAGACTGAAATCATTGTTATCCAAAGTATGTGTGTGTGATCCCATTGTTTTTTGCCTCCACAATATAGAGTTCTTTTTTTGGTGAAACAATCCACAGAAGGCCAAGTATTGTGGCAAGGGAGGGGAAGTATAGAGTTCTTCTTTTTTTGGTGAAACAATCTATAAAAGGCCAAGTATTGTGGCAAGGGAGGGGAAGGAATGTGTTCATGTTGCTAAGGCAACAAGGTCAATACTTCTTATCACCTAAGCTCAGCAGTTCTCACCTGATTACCTGGGGCAGAAGATGGAGTTGGTTTCACATTTGGGAATATCTAGATGAGCTAATTTGAAGTGCTGCAGTGGTCATAGACAAGAACTATACCCAGGACAGACTCTCCCATAGGGCAGAGTGAGGTAAATTGCCTTGAGCAGCAAATATTGTGGATCAGCAGTAGCAGCCCTTCCGGCTGTTTGTTTTTAGCCTCCTGATCATTTCCTTCCCCTAGCGAACATTACAATGTGACTCACACAACCTGTCCTGCCTTCCCCCCCTTAAAGTAGTCTCCTTTTTAAAATATGTTGTGTTGAAGTCGGGTTTCCTCAGCTGAACGTCTGCTCACTCAGCATCTGTGCGTGAAATGGAGGAGGCGCCATCTGGTTGTGGGCCTCAGGTGAGAAAATATCTTGAGTCGGGCTGGCCTGGCCTACACTATATTCTACCCTAACTATCATACATGGCTTTGTGCAACAAGAGCTGGACAGGGTGAAAGTCTTGCCACATGATACTGATGGGTTATTGATTGATTGATTGACTGACTGACTGACTGAAAGACTGACTTCTATACTGCCCATTTGGCTACCAAGGCCACTCTACACAGTTTACAATATTATGGAAATATTCAGTGTAACTGACAAGGCAAAAGGGATTTAGGAAGCCTCGTGGTGTAATGGTTAAACTGTAGAACTGCAGCCAAAAGTCTGCTGGAGACCCAGGTTCAATTGCAGTTAGCCGGCTCAAGGTTCACTCAGCCTTCCAAGTACCAAACAATGTGTAGTCTATGTAACTAAATTGTAAACTGCCCAGAGAGCAGTTTAAGCACGATGGGGCAGTATATAAGCAGCATGCATTGCTTTGTGTTGCTTTATAACATTCCTTTTCCCTTCCTTCAGCAGCACTTAAAGGAGCAGTGAAAAGAGGCAACACAGGGCCCATCCTTGATTTCACACCACCTCCGACATCATCTTCTGCCCTGTTCCAAGTGATTGCAGTTCTACAACTGTTCACCGATCTTTTGTGAGCATATTCATCAGACACTCACAAAATAATAACAATAAAAAGCCTCAAAACTTTCCTAGGTTTGCAGAGGGGATCCCTGCTGAATGCTTTTTTTTAAAATGGATTTTACTATTTTTATTGTTTTAAAGAAGAAAGAGAAACAAAAGCAGCAGTCACCATGTTGATGTCTGAGTAATGCATGAAAGTTTCCTGAAGTCCATTATACAGGAGAATTAACATTGGATGCACCAAGTAGCAGGCATAGCTGATCTTCGCAACAGGAGTCCAAATGCCCCATGACAGGATCTCATTGATGAAACCTGTTGTGGGAAACACCAGAAACCTGTAAGTAGCTGGTTTGGTCTGTCTGTCGTTGGCCCTGCCCCCATTAAAATTTTAATTGCCTTCCTGGGTTGCAGTGTCCATGGGTGCACCCTATGAGATCCATCTGGGTGCCAGATGCAGGCAGAAATACCTTTGGCTGAGTAAGAAGATGTGCATGCAGTGCCATACTCTGATCTACCCAATGGATGTGCCCACGTGTACATCTTCATTCAGAGATGCTCAGGTGGTCAGTTATTTGGAACACGGCACCAGAGAGTTTGAGTTAGACTTCCCTGCCCCTGATAGCTAATATCAGAACCGGGTTAGGCATAGAGGACAGCAGTGATGGGGAAGGTGTGGTCTGTGAGATGGGTGGGTTCCAGGACTATCCGATGCCTCCCTGTGCTGGAAAAAAAACAGGTGCAATATTTGGGGTTTTTTAGCTCCTGGGTGCTTCCAGGTACATCAGTCTCAGCCTATTACTGAATTACAGAATTTCCAGGGTTCTAGCTGTGACCAAGAAACTTATCTCGTCACATTGAAGGTCTTTTAGCCATACTGAGCAGTGAAATATTCCAAGTGCTCGTCTTTCCTCAGAATACCCTGAGCAGATTAGGATTGGATATCTAAAAGACTTGAATTTGGGCCTGTGACAGCGTAATAAAGAACAATAGATTGAATGAAATAATCTATGTGCCTTCGTATTAGTCTGTGTTAAAATCTTCAGAGGCTATCATGGGTTGATCTGGCTGATCTAAGGCATTTTGCAGAGAAGCCAATGGTACCCTCCGCTCATCTCCCAGGCCAGGCAATTTACTTTGGTATCCATGGCCCAAAAATCTCTCTTTCTTCCAGGTGGTAAAAATCCAATAAGAGTAAAAAAAGAGATTAATATGTGGTCCCCTAGAGGGACATGGTGGCGCCGTGGGCTAAACCACAGAAACCTGTGCTGCAGGGTCAGAAGACCAAGCAGTCGTAAGATCGAATCCACGCGACGGAGTGAGCACCCGTTGCTTGTCCCAGCTCCTGCCAACCTAGCGGTTCGAAAGCATGCAAATGCAAGTAGATAAATAGGGACCACCTTCTAAGGCATTTTGCAGAGAAGCCAATGGTACCCTCCGCTCATCTCCCAGGCCAGGCAATTTACTTTGGTATCCATGGCCCAAAAATCTCACAAGTACCTCTCTTTCTTCCAGGTGGTTAAAATCCAGTAAGAGTAAAAAAAGAGATTAATATGTGGTCCCCTATTTTAATATCTCAAATATGCTGCCTGACAGCAGCCTCCTTACTTTGCAAAATGGTCAGGCTGGTCTAGAATTAAGCCTTTTCAATGGTGACGCCAGAAGTCATGGGACACACACTCTGAAAAGACTCCCTTGGCATTTCTTTTATTATCTTCCGAGCACCACCAGAAAAGACCTGCTTCGCATTTGTTCAAATGGACCAATCACACCAAATGCCTCTTTGGGCTTTTCTTTGGGGTGGGGGATAGGGGCAGTCATAATGAGGAACTACACTTCCTTCACCACTGGTCACAAAGGAAGGAGAATGCTGTCAAGGTGCATTTTCTCTGAGCACTGTAGCACTAAACTACATGTATCTGAATACCTGATGATATGAAAGAAAAAAGGCCCGTTAGAGAAGATGAAACCCATTCAAAAGCAATGCCACCTTTTCTTTGTCTAGTACCTCCATAGCCTTCTTCGCATGCAAAAATCATCCAACCCACAGCCATCGCCCAAACTGTCCGGTGAAGGGCTTGGTATAGAGCTACAGCTGGCGAATAGGAACTGGAGGTGTCTTCCAACGTATAGGCCAAAGCAACCACCATGAACATGGAAAACATTGCAGAAAGCCACCCAACAGATGCTTGTACCTACAGGGACATGAGAGCAAAACCCTGTACTTTTTAGTTAACCGGCACAATTCCATATAATTCCATTGTTACATCTGCAATAGTCTTCTCCCCCCTTCTTTTTCTAGCAACAGTCTCTTGTATGATGTATTACAATGCCTGGTTGCAATTCTCCTCCCAAGCAGCTTCCTTCTGACTTCAACTGCCCACACTTGCCATCTTTGAGCCTTGAACTGAAACTCAAAAGTTCAGAGTGTCCAAATTCAGATGACATTCAGTCTGCTGCACCTAACGTGCACATATTAGACCAAGATCTGAAGTTGGTCAATTGACCTGAAAACACTGATCAAACAACGTCATCATCAGGAGAATGGACTCAGGCTGAATCCGGGCAAAACGGAGGTCCTTTGGGTGGGTGTCCCAGACATCAGTGATCTGGGAAACTCCCTCTCTTTTGGGGGGAGGTGACTCTTACCACCAAGAGTGAGGTTTGCAGTTTGGGGGTACATCTGAACCCGGCACTCACCATGGAGACCCAGGTGTTGTCACTGGTCCGTTCCGCCCATTTCCATCTTTGGCGGATTGCCCAGCTGTGTCTCTATCTTGATGTGGGGGCGCTCACCACTTTGGTCCTTGCGCCTGTAGTCTCAAGAGTAGACTACTGTAATGCGCTCTACATGGGGCTGCCTTTGAGACTGATGCGGAAACTTCAGATGGTGTAGAATGCGGTGGCCAGACTTCTTACAGGGGTGAAAAGGTACCACCATATTTCCCCCACTCCTGCAGCCTTGCATTGGGTGCCCATTCGTTTCCACGTTGATTTCAAAGTTCTTACAATTAAATATAAAGCCCTAAATGGTTTAGGACAATTAAACTGCAGTAGAGTACAGACAGTTCTGACTCCTGTCCTCTGAAGATACCGGCCACAGAGACTGGCGAAACATTAGGAAGAAGAAAAACCTTAAGAACACAGCCAAACAACCCGGTAAACCCACAACATTCATTATAATACATGCTTATTGTTTTTATTGTTTTTAACCTTTGGTCTAGATGGGCGGGATAGAAATCTAATAAATAAATAAATCATTCCCCTTTTTAAGGAGCATAGATGTCCGATGGCATATGCCAGGGAAGTTAGATTTTCTCACTGGCCATTTTGACAAGGAAGTCACCTCTTGTTGATGCTGTCACCAGACTCTCTGTTTCTTCTGTTGCTTGCTCTTTTCTCTCTGTGCCAAGACCTTCCTAATTTGCACCAAATGTGCAAGTGCCTTTCTTTTCTGATCAAGGTTGCTTCCAGTCTCTTATGGCAGGGGTCTCCAACCCCTGGACCGCAGCCCGGTGCTGGTCCATGGCCATGGCAGGACCAGGCTGGGGAGACAGATCTCCCAACCCCCCTGGATGCACTCCCCCCTCTGCACACACGAGTGCCCCGCCCATCTGCATGTGTGCCCCCCAACTGGTCCGCGGTTTGGGGAGAAAGATCTCCCGCCCCCCCTGGATGCACTCCCCCTCTGCACACACGCATGTGTGCCCCCCAACTGGTCCGCGGTTCAGAAAAGGTTGGGGACCACTGTCTTATGGGCTTATAGTGGAAACACTTCAAGGCTAAACCGAACTCAAGGGTAACACATTGCACATAATTCTTTCAAGGTGACTCAAAGATCTGAAACCAAAGCTGCTGCCTCATTTAGCAAACCACAAGGAATGCCCCAAGTTTTCCTGACTAATGGTTCTTGCCAGTAAAAAACACAAAACTTTGCTTGTGTTAGTTTAACTCCTTCCTTATACCTGTAGCAAACTCAGATCCTGTGTATTGGTTTTCAGCAGCAGCAATATCACAGTTATAACAAGCCTTCTGAAAATGACTCAGAGCATCTAATAATTAAAATATCCATAGCTATAAAATGCATAAACACCACAGACAATATCTAATATAAAATAGCACATGCCTTCCAGGAATAACAAGCAACAGCACTAATCATTTGGCATAAACAGCTCCACTTTCTGTCTAATACTTCTTTTGAATGAAGTGGGTCAGATGAAAGCCCGTGGGGGGGCAACACAGGCTGTATATGGCCCTCGTAGGCTGTCTTAACAGCTCTACTCCTCCACTCCCACTGATTAATTCTGGCAGCAAACCATGAAGTTTTCTTTAAAACAAGCAACAAATGTTTATTTTAAAGCAATACTTCCAGTCTGCTACCTAAATGCAGTGGTGTACCTTACTAGTGGACTGTTGCTAATTTATTGTGTTACAATACACAGCAGGTTTCAGGGAGCTGTCAACTTTGACCACCGCTGTTTTCCCTGGGGTGTAAAAACCAATATAAAAACAACACATAATTTTAGTGGACATGGACTCAGCATTCATGCCGAAGCCCAGTGTTCTTTTACCTTGCTTCTTAGGAATGGTGTTTGCTTGTGGTAGATGAAAAGTCCTAGAAGAATACCAACTAGAAATGGTCCATATCGGCAATAAGGTTTTGAATAATATTCTGTGAAATACATCACAGTGGACGTTTTCCTGCAAGCAGATTATAAATAACTACACTAAATGTCTTCAATGGTCAGAAAAACATGAAAAAATAACCATTCCCACTATATATAAATAAACAAAAGATATGTAAGTCAATTTGGAGTCATTTTTTCCGTGTAATGCAAAAATAAGAAAAAATGTACAGCAGTTGTCACAGATTTGTTTCAGTGTGAGTTTTCATCGATTGCAACCCATTCCCTCAGACACAGGAAAGTTACATGAAAGAAGGGTTCGTTTAAGTAAAAGAACTGACAACAAAGTCTGAACTTTACGGCTGTTAATAAAACACAGGAAAGAGCTGCAAAAAGAATATGACACATTACAAGAATTCTGCTCCAAAAAGAAGTGAAATAGCAACACCTGCTCATTTCACAAAATTCAAATTTTCCTATTTTTAGAAAATCAACTGAGAAAAAAAATCTGCTCAGACAATTATGAGTCAGCTTTATGAAAACGCTCTGCAAAGCAGCAGCACTCTACCTGTTTATGTATTAGATCATTATCTAGGTCTCTGACTGCACAGCCAGAGGTTGGGAGTTAATTCTCCCTCTGTGTCTTCTACAAGAAGAACCACCCTGTGTGGCTTTGGGCAAGTTGCACAGTCCTGGGGCACCCCCAGAAGAAGGGAATAGCAAATCATTTCTGAGTACTCTCTACCTGGAAAACCCTGGAAGTCAGAATTGACTTGACAGCACATTGTTGTTGTCGTTGTTGTCGTCGTCCTCCTCCTCCTCTTCCTCCTCCAATTAATCTTAAAACGGTGTCCATATCCCTCCTCTTCACAATTAATCCTCACAATGTCTTTCTGAGGTAATTAACCTTAACACGGTGTCCATATCCCTCCTCTTCACCAATTAATCCTCACAATGTCTTTCTGAGGTAGTTCAGGATAAGAAAAACTGTCTCAAAGTCACCCAATGATTTTCATGGGTGTGAAGGTTCTAGAAAGACCCAGAACCTCTCTCTCCCAAGTCTTAATCTGACAAAGGAACCACTACACCATCAATCAAGCTGCCAGGGTTATCAAATTCTCCATGAATTCTAGGTACCTCAGAGGTACCTCTCACCATGTGTAGAGTTACTTTCCCTAGAGGATGTTAAGCTACTGATTGTTGAGTGTTTGTGTGCAAGGAATTCACTCACTCATTCCTTCGGCAGGAATCTGGAACAAAGAGTCTCCGGACATGTACAGAATATGTCTTATTTGCAAATATGTTGGTTCCAACCTGTCTGGGTCTGCTTTGGAATTCAGACCCTTGCTCTTGGGCAGTGTTATGAGGAAATGCTAACAGAGTAATCAATGCTGCAGCACCAGCGAGCAGCTACATCGCTAATGGATAAGGTGCAGTCTTACGGATGATGCTAGACTACAAGACCCAGCATTCCTCACTGCTGGCTATAGTGGTAATGGCTGGTGGGAGACCCAGTCCTACAACATGTGCAAGACCTCATTTTAAGCACTCCCAAGCTATATGAGAGAGCCATGGACACTCCTTTGAATGATTCACAGAGAAGAACTGAGCTTCCAAACACATCTTGCAAAAAGTCTGCCTTGCCACACTTTCTCTCTTCTTCTTAAGAGAGCGGCATTCATAGGCAGGCAGGCCCTAGTAATGAAGCCATCCCTTAATTTATAGCCAGTTTTAAGACTGTTCATAATGTTCTGCTAGAAGATTATTTTCCAGCTTCTCATCCATTAAATCTGCCAATTGGCCAAAGGAATAATGCTTGGGTGAAACCTGTAAAACATTTTACGAAACGTGAAACAAATGAGAGATAACAGGTGCACCACTGCTGCACTTGGGCTATGATCATTTTGTCAACAGTTTTCTACATTTTAGAACATTTAGTTTTTCTTACTACAGAATCTGGGCCTTTTAATCCTCAGCTGAAATGTGGGACCTACTTTTCTCGTTTAACCATTTATATTCATTCCTCTGCCCAACCTGGCTTTCCCGGTATTGTCCAAAACCTCTATGTTTTTCCTTCTTTTCCCCAGTTCATTTTAGAGAGACCAAGGAAAAAGGCAGATGTATTCTCGAGAAGATCTGCTCTAAAGAGACTGGCAACCAAGTTTGGAGTCTCTCTAAACCCATCAGTAGTGATAATATGAAAACACCCAAGAGTCTTCTGGCTCCCTAAAAACAAGCAAGTGTTATTTGGCATATGCTTTCATGGCTTGCAATTTGCATCATAGGAAATGGACTGCAGTCCACACAATTTTATGCCATATAAAACTCCTAGGCTGATAAAAGTTTAGCCTTCAAGGTGCCACAAGGTTTTGCTGGGTTTGTTGCAACAGACAGAAATGTCTTCCTCCCTGAAGTGTAACATGAGTTTGCATTTGTATACAGCCTATTAATCTGGCAAATAGAACCGGGTGCATGTGTGTGTTGACCCATGTGCACTTCAATGCAGAGTGAACAGGTATGGAAGATCTGGTAGACTGTGTGCATTGCATTCATATGGAGACTACCTGAGAGAATGAGCTGGGCTGTTTGGAAAAGCAGGCAGGGATTGGGAACGGAGAGATGAGAGAGACTATGAACAAGGAAGGGGAAAGGATAATTAAGAACTGAGTACACTGTCTTATATTGAATCAGACCACTGGTTCCTTGAGCCAAGTAATGTCAAGTCTCACTGGCAACAGTTCTTTAGGGCTTCAGGCAGCCCTTTTTCCTAGTCGTACTTGGAAGTCCCAGGTCTTCCCAGGTGGTTTCCCATCCAAGCACTACATAGACTTCATCATGATGAGCTTCTAAAATCCGATGAGATGAATGTGTTCTCAGTGGTATAAAACAGCAGGTAGTTCACCTAATTTGATTTCTGACGCTATTGTTTGGAGCAATTTCTGCAGGCTCTCCAGAACATGACCATTCACATGATGAGTTGTACAATCAGAGTATGACCACACATACAATGGACAACCCTAAAAAAGCCTATACCACTTGCCCCGCAGGCTGTAACCCCAAGAGGCATTTGGTTTACAATTGTATGTGCTGGAAAGCAAAGGAGGAGATAAAAGTAAATATATAACACTGCCCTTGAATATAGCTGGACAGAGCTGAAGAGCCCAAAAGTAACATAGTAGTTCATACATACTGTGATACTCAAAGCTAGATCCTTAAAGAGCCTGGGGGCAGTGAGAAAGAAGAGAGCATGGTGTTCGTGCTGGTGCCTGGTGGCGACACACGGTAGAATCATAACTGGAGAAGGGTGAGGGAGTGCCATAGAACATTATTGCTGAAAGGGATTATCTCTGGATCCTCACCTCATATCATGTGGATTCGCAACAGGAAGTCTGTAGAGTGAAGACAGAAGGGCTGTCACTGTAAACGTGGCCAGGAAGAGCAAGGTCACTAACACGATAAGCCAGTGTTTAGCTCTGCCAGAACAACAGAAACATAAGGAATGAATGGGACTTCTTAATCTGTATGTTATGTGGATGGGGTGCTCTGTTTTCCTGATATACCTGAAACAAAACTTGATCAAAACTGAACCAAATGGGGCCCTTTCGGTCCAATTGTCATTTGTCTTGAAACAAATGTACAGAGTTACAAATGGATTTTTATTCCATGATGTATATATGCCCATTTGTATTTAAGAAAGAAAGAAAGAAAGAAAGAAAGAAAGAAAGAAAGAAAGAAAGAAAGAAAGAAAGAAAGAAAGAAAGAAAGAAAGAAAGAAAGAAAGAAAGAAAGAAAAAAGAAAGAAAGAAAGAAAGAAAGAAAGGCTTACCTGGTGGAGAAAAATACCAGCAGAGGTGTTGTGCAATAAAACTGGAAATCACTGGCAAGATACCATGTCCATCCGTTACACTGAAAATGGAGCGGGGGGTGGAGAGAGAAAATGTACTTATGTGTGTGCATATATATATATATATGTACACACACAGAGAGAGGACAGCTTTGCTGTGTGTCCATTTTGATTTGTGCATTTCAGATTGAAAACCTAAAGCCAAGGATTGCCTCATTTCTGATACAGATATTTATACACTGGCCTACGAGCCCTTTCGGGTAATGATTCGAGTTAAACATATTAAACACCTAAAAGCATAGACAAGTAACACATAAAATAAACCTGTCTGTTATAAAAAAGGATCAAAATGATCCTCTCCATAGCATCTTAGGAGGTAAGTGCAGTTATGTAAAGCACCATGTGTCGGCTTCCAAACCTGGACGGAAGGATAGCACGAAATGACAGCTGGAGAGGTGGTGGGGATTAAAACCACTAAGGACTATTCCATATGCATAACCAGGACATGAGTAGGGGTCCCCAAGTCATTTCTCCACAGGTAATCTCATCCTGGTTCTGTCCTTAGCAGGCTACAGAACTGCGAGGGGGAGGAGTACCCATTACATGTTGCATACTATGGATACCATAGGATGCAACAGGAGAGCATCACATAGAGGGCTGTCTGCATGATGTCCTGAATGTAGCAGTTCTTCTCTCCACCCTGTCTCTCATTTAGGAGGGCTAGAGGGGAAAGAATAGAAAATGGGCCACTGCTCAAGCAATTTATTCTATGATGTGCCAACAGTTTTTCTGTTGGACAGACTTACAGACTTGGATCCAGTGATGAAGTTGTTGATCAGCAATAGATTGGTCCACCACACTTGTCTACAGTTATCCACCTCAAGTTTCGAGAACTCCCATAATGCTCTCCAAGGAGACACAGAATACAGCCCAACTAAAAGACACACAGAATACATGTGGAGTGGCTGAAGTCTGCAAAAACAACAGAAGAAGCTACTTAGGCTGTATGAAGAAACAGTTCCCCCCCCCAGTGGTTAGACATGTAAAGCTTATAGCTGATCACATCTGGAATTCAGACAGTTCTTTAAAGATGATCCTTCTGTAGGAATTCAACTCCCAAAATATTTGCATTTAAACTGGAAATACAAAATACATGAGTAGAGATGAGATCTTCATATTTATATCCTTCTATACATGAGCTTGTTTCCAGCAGAAAACAACTGTGGAAAATAGTTAGTAGCACGGAAACTTGCTGGGGGTGTGGAACAGGTAAAACCTTAAACATCTCACTTACCCATATTAGGGTTGCTATAAGTTCATTCTGACTTGATGGCATGTAACAAAAACAACACTTGGACAGGACTTAAAGGAAGAGTCACAGAATTTCACTCAGTAGGATGAGCAAAAGGTCCCCCAAATGACAGCTTATCATTTTAAGAGGGTTATAATCTGAAAAGTGCGGTTTGCCACCCATTTCTCTTACAAAGCAGGGACCAGCTTGGTGGAAGTTAAACTAAGTCATGAATATGCTAACCGACTGAGGCCTTCCTCTACTGGAACTCTGGAGAAGCCCAGGAATGCTCTGACAAACGACCTTATTTGTTTCAATGGCACTATATAAGCCAGTCTTAAGGAAGGTGACTCCCTATACCAATTTCTCAACTTCTACAGAAACTTTTTTCTCTCCACCAAAACTAAAGGCAGCTCATGACTGTGGTGGAGAACATCTCTGAAAATCTGAAAAATCTCCCCCTGAAATTTCAGGGTGAACCCCCCCCATCCCCTTGCCACCCATGACCAAAATCTATAAATGGCAGTGACATTTCTCTGTATTGGCTTCCACTATCTGGAAGGATCTCCAGTGCACTGTATGCCAGAGATTTTAAAAAAAGCATATTTTAGGTCTTACAATAATAGAAAACGCATTTTATAAACCTGTTTGCAACTCTCTCGTGTTGTAACTCCTTTTGGGATCTGCGCCAATGACGGCCATAATAGACCAACAGTCAGCTTTGCAACTAGAAGCAGAGCTGGCTTCAGCAGTTAAAGTATGTCTGATTATCCTATAATGGCTTTCACAGCTTTGAAATTTGCAATGGGTCATTGGGATGAAACAAAAGCTGTGTTTGCACATTGATTTTTCCAAACACAGCAACTCTGAAGATAATTAAGGTGCCATCACATCCAACTGTGACGGTGCCCTGTCATCTCTTTTGGCCTGGAGTAGCAATAAAGCTCTATTTCTAATAAGTCATTATAAGCTATCTACTAAGAATCTTCAAAAGAAAAGTCTTGCAAATTGTACCGAAGAAGCCGACTCCATAGATATTTCAGCACAACCTGAAAGGTGATCTTTTTTCCTGAGCTATTCAGTATGTTCAAGAATGACCGGGAGCTCAACAAGCCACTGTGGGTAAAGAAACAACCATTAGTTTATTATTTCACTTTCCCAAATATCACTTCTTAATTCTGCCATCTTAGCTCAACACTTCCTTGGTGAAAGTAAATCAATTGCTAAGATAACTGGTGCTCCGGTTATTGGTTCTTGATGGGTTTTAAAGCGCATACACTCCTATCAAGAGCTGGCGTGGTTTAGCATTTAAGAGTTCAAAGACTCACCAGTAGTTCTCAGCCTTGAGTAAGTCAGGTATTCTTTGACTGTAATTTGCAAAAGCCTTCACTGTCAGCTGTGCTGGCTAGGGTTTCCTGGGAATTACAGTCCAAGAACACCTGGGATACCCAAGATTGGGAACCTCTGATGTATACTATCTGGAGCTAGATGAAGAAAAGGCAGGTTATAAATGTATAGTAAAATATAAATGCATTCATATAAATGAATGAATAATTAACAAATAAATAATAGTGATTTTCCCATAGCAATTCTAGTCTCTTCTCCCTGCAACAACTTCTTTTATGACCTCTTGGGACAGCTGGTTACACAAAAAATGGAAAAATATCTCTCTCTCTCTCTCTCTCTCATTCATTCATTCGTTCGTTCGTTCGTTCGTTCGTTCATTCATTCATTCGAGGGAGAAAGAACAAATGTGACAAAGATTTGTGTAAAACTGCAGAGCACTCATACTAACTTTAAGGGTGTTAAAAATGCAACAGTGATCTACATGGAACATACTTTTTTTATATATATATATAAAAAGATGCAAAATATAGATATAGGGTTTCTATTTAGCTCCAGAGTGCGAGGCATATGGCACACACAAAAACATTTCCATGTTGGTGGTCATAGAGCTGCAGCAGCAGTTTGTGCGAAGCTACTAGTCCCATGCTACCAACATGATTTTGACCAAACTCTGGGAGGCAGTGGAAGACAGGAGGGCCTGGTGTGCTCTGTTCCATGGGGTCACGAAGAGTCAGACACGACTTAACGACTAAACAACAACTAGTCCCTAAGACCATTGTCTTCACATAATCTTTCCTGACTTGCTGGCTGTTGAGTCCACCAGCAGCACCCTGTAAATCTTGAAGCTGAACCATTAGCTACCCAGCAGGAAAAACTGGTCTATAGCGCCTGGGTGATAAATGCAATCCTTGTGGTGAAAGGTTGGTTAATTACTTGGTGAGACCTCTTGACTGCAAACGTGTCCATTTCGTGTTAAAGACGGTGGACTAGCAATTGGATTTGGCTTTCAGCAAAGTATACGTACATGCACCCTGATGTTGGATCAGCCACTCCCAACCTCATGCCCTCAAGATGTGTTGAGCTGCAACTCCCAGAAG